TTAACAATGGATTCTAAAAATTCTAAAAAACTTTAAGAATCTATCTACCAATAACCCTCCTAAAAGTGTAAAACTGTAAAGAATCTGTTTCCTAATTACAATGGTTTTTAATAGCATTTTATAATTATTGTTAATTTTTTAAATAAAAATATAATTACTGTTAGTTGCTTGTTTTTAAACACAAAAATTTAAAAGTTATCAGACCAATAACATTGATATTATCAATAGTATAAAAATACATAGATAAATAACAATGAAATGTAAAAAAATAAAAGTTTTTAAGTATCAAAATAATCTTTTCACAAGTTTTCACAAACTTTTAATATTTTGTAGAAACTTTCCCCTAATCTTTTGAAAGAATATCTCTAGTCCCTTGGATTTTTGTATTATAAGCAGGAAATATATGGACAGGGTGTAGTTGTAAAAATCACATTTTCCGTACCTATATCATTGTTTATTGCAAAACAATATCAATAGTATTATGTATATGTTTTCAAATGAATTTAAATAGTGGATTTATAATTATATAATAAAAAGAAAAAAATGCGGGACCAAGAAAATAATAATAGTGGAGAAGCTTAATGGAAGGGAATGGGTTTGATATGGCTTTATTCATTTGGTTCCACAGTACTACACAGCTTGGCTCCTCATCCACTCCACGTGGCTTCCCATGCCACGTCAGCATCTTCTCCTCACGTGGCTTCCTCTTGTGGGTCCTACTAAGATTGCTTCATCGATCGATGATGATGTGTCTCCATCGTTGCTCCCTAATTCCTTCACTCCTCAATTCGCCTCACCATAATTACTTTCGTTTTTTTTAAATCTTCGTAGAAAACTAAATTATAACTGCTTTAAATCGTTCTACTGATTTTAAAAATAAATAAATCTATTAAAAAAATATTTGTCTACCACATTTTTAACTGAATAAACTCAACAATATTTTCGACAAAAAAAAGAAAGAAGAAAAAACTCAACAATATATTTTATAAGAAGCGAACAACACACTATTAATCGCGATTATCTAATTTATGAAAATTGTTTAAGAAAAAACATTGAATTCAAAGAATAAACGAATTTGTTTCATGTTTGAATTCTTGTTGTGCCATTTGTTAGTGTCGGATCTCGCACTAATTATCCGGTCCATTTCATCAAAAGCCCACCGTCATACAAGATTTGTGAATGTTCGAATTGGCCAAATCGAAATTTGATATTAATTTGTGATAGTGGTACGATGTTCTACGTGAATCCACGCTGGAAGGACATAAATTCATAAATTAATGGTAATGGCCAAATTTTGGAATTAATTTGTGAATTAATTCTGAGATTAATACTCAAAAACAAATGAAGATTATAAAGAAGAAGATGACAATAGAAGATGGAGTTGATTACGTGAAGAAGTGGCGAGACTAGAAATAATCATTAGACAAATTTTAGTTCTTCTTCTTCCGTGTACTATGAATAAAATTATGCTTTCCTCTTAATTCTTACATGCTTATTCTCTCATGTGGTTTAGTGTTTTATCTATAGAAAAGTTTTGATCCCAATTTCTTTTATTTTGAATCAAATCATATCGAATTCTGCACTCACACCA